TATATATATATGTAAGTACATACAGATATACATATGCCTTATTCATACATATGTACATATGTTCATGTTTATGCATACACATGTGTTTTTGAGGGCTTATTCATAATTTCTACTGTTAACTATATACATATGTACGATAAGCATCGTGCTAGGCGTTGTTACTTACATTTCGTCTGTTCGCAGAGACCGCGTAGACTTCAATTCATAGAACTCGACATTTTCCATATTATGCAAAAAGTCCATATTTGAGTCGTTATCATTAAGTAAATTGAGATTTAAGTCGTATTCCAAATCAAAGCCCAAGTCAATCCCCGATTCCGCCATGTCTAGATACAAAAAGGTAACAGCTTCAGAAGGTCTGATAAATCACAATTTTCTGTTCTATAAACTGTTGATCGCTTTAATTCATATTAGTTATCATCAGTCGAATGGATACGTTTCCCATTTTCGAACAAATTTACACGCGTCTTAGAGACTTGAGGCGGACTCGAAGAGAGTAACCAGTAATCGATCGACATGTATAACTCTCAATTTATAGCGAGCCGTCCATTGTGCGCGTCAGAGAAAAAGAGAAAGAGAATGATTTTTTTTTTTTTTTTTTTTTTTTTTTTTTTTTTTTTTTTTTACCCGGTTAAATTTTTTTTTTTTGAGACACTTTAAACATACAGGGTTGAATTTCAATTGGTCGAGAGAGTATTATGTTTGAGTACTAACCATGATTTGGGTTACTATTGAATAATAAATACTAAATTACTTAGCCATTCAGTCGTTCCTATTGGTTTTTACAACTAAATTTCTAACGGCAGATCTTAATATTAACGTGTAAAATACTACAAATGTGCATCTATGACTTGACGGCCGCTCGATTATAATACATCGATATTGCTTGATAAATACTTAATTGTAATAGATGATCACTTGGCGGTGTAAAACCCTATAACAAGTATTTAATATATTACTAGGCTGCCAATGTATTTTAGATTTTAAACAAAAAAAATGTATAGCCAGGCAAGATTATTACGATCTATTTATATTAAGAAATTATAGAAATATTATAGAAATATTATTATTTATTTTAATTCCTAAATATATAAAATTTGATATTCAAAAACAATTTAAAATATCGATAATTTAATGATACAGTTAGCAGCTTGCTTTGGAGCTATCGTTGGAATTCTCTCGACTGTATGTGTATCAAAACACAACCGTGGCTGCCGATAACAGCCTACGATAGAACAAACTTAATAATATAAAGATTTTCTCGTTTTACAATAAATATTAATGCGATTGTAAGTTGGATATATCAGTTAAGCCTATATCCAAACCGGAAAGGAGTACAATTCCAACTTGATTTGTTCTCGTACGTGTTGCATACAGCCAAACATTTATATACATGCATGCATACAAAACATACATACATCTAAATCTTCGTGCACACAAACATAACATGCTTAAACACATACACATATGTATATATGTTGCAGCGACAAATGTATATATAAAGGCATACCAACATATCTCTATATACACATCTATACCTTTGTGGGCCTTTATTTTTATTGCTGCTACACAATCAAACATTTCTATTTATTTTTAAAGAAATTTGTGTGTAAGATTAAACATTCTCTATTTCCATGCATGTGTCCATAGAGTAAAAGTTCAAAATTATATTAAATCTATAGTGCATTCGTTCGCTAAATATACAAAAATACATATGTGTATGTACGTAAATTGCATTTTAGTTATACGTTGATGTATACATAGAAGCTAATGTTTACTAATGAATTCATTTATATTTATATTATGTATGTTAATTAGTCTTACTACTGACTTAAAAAATTATGCATTTTTGGAAAATACAGCGAAAATAACTCCAGTGGAAAAATGGACAAAAAAATCTCATCAACATCGCAACCGCGTATTTTGAAGAAGAAGCATTTCAGAGTAAAACACCAAAAAGTAAAGCTATTTCGTGCTAATGAGCCCATTCTTAGCGTTTTTATGTGGGGCATCAACCATACAGTAAGTTCCGTCGCAAATATTATTTATCCACACATATGAATATATGCAGACTGATAATATCCCACGTTTTTCATAATATCCATCAAATTCTAGATAAACGAGTTAAGTCATGTCAACATACCAGTAATGTTGCTGCCAGATGATTTTCGTGCGTACTCGAAAATAAAAGTCGACAATCATTTATTCAACAAGTAAGAAGTACTACCAGAGATTCCATTAGCAAGCTGGAAAATTATAATTTCCTCTTTTATTTATTATTAGAGAGAATATGCCGTCACATTTTAAGGTGAAGGAGTATTGTCCCCTTGTATTCCGAAATTTACGTGAGCGATTTGGAGTTGACGACGTTGATTATCGCGAATCTTTGACTAGGTCGCAGCCATTGGGCATCGACTCATCGGGCAAGTCAGGTGCACAATTTTATGAGAGCTACGATAAATTCTTTATAATTAAGAGTCTTACATCCGAGGAAATTGAACGCATGCATGCCTTTCTCAAACATTATCATCCAGTGAGTGCAAATGTTTTTAAATGCAATTCAGACACATATAATTAAAATTTTCCTTGAATTGTGTTCTCAGTATGTTGTAGAGAGACATGGAAAAACACTTCTGCCACAATACTTGGGCATGTACCGGATTACTGTGGAGAGCGTCCAGTATTATTTTGTTGTAATGAGGAATGTTTTCAGCTCTCAGTTGACCATACATAAGTATGAACGCAATATTTCTTAAAATAAACTATTAATTCTAATTCCATTATTTGTTATTCCATAGAAAATTTGATTTAAAGGGTAGTACTGTAGATCGCGAGGCTTCAGAAAAAGAGCTTGAAAAGCTTTTACCTACATATAAGGACAATGACTTCATAAAACAAAAAGTCAAATTGGAGATTGGAGAGGAACCTAAGAAAAAATTGTTGGATACTCTAAACAACGATATTGATGTAAGAAATCAAACCTTTACATATTTACTTATATTTGTGACTTTAAAGTAGAAAATGGGTTTAACAAGGTTGAGAAATGAAATGACTAACGAAATACTGACCAAGCAGAAAGTGAATAGATCTGATCTAAATTCTGGTCAGCTTTTTGGAATCTTTTGAATCATTATAAGATGAAACACATTATCTAGATTACACAAATTTCACACATGTGCTCTTAATTTTGATATCCTGTTAGGTCTCTTCTGCCCGCACATAGCACAAATTGACTTGATCAATTTTAGCTTAAAATGTATCAACTAAACTTCAAATTTAAATATACACTAAGTATATTTAAATTTTCTCTCATAATAAAATTTTTATTGTACAAACAAATCGTATTTTAACCTTCTATGTGTGTGTATCCATCTATGTCTTTTACAAAAAGATATCCTAACTACATTTTAATATTTCTTTACATGTAATCGCTGTTCTACTTATACTCGACCGTTTGCTGTTAACAGTTGTTAACCAAGTTACATATAATGGATTACTCTTTGTTGGTTGGTATTCATGATTGTGTGCGGGCTGAGGAAGAGGCTCTACAAGGAGATAGCGCGTTGGCAACCGGGCGTAGTGAAAACAGTGAGAGCGAAGAGTGCGATAGTGGTGAACGGTAAATCATGAATAACATAAAATTTAAGAAAATTGCAAATAAATGGCTATGAACGTTATTTAAAGCTGGACGTACAATACACCACCCGATTCGCCAAGAGGTGCACAATATAAGGAAGTTGTTTATGAAGTTGACATTTACGCCATTCCAAGTATTGAAGGTTATTTATACAGATGTATTTAAAAAACATTTAATATAACACCACAAAATTTAATTTTAGAGAGGCGAGAAATCTATTTTATAGCTATTATCGATGTTTTAACACAATATGGAGTCAAAAAACAGGTATATCTATATTTATATTTCCTTTTATAATGTTAAGTGATTCCTTTTGTTTATTTTAGGCAGCGAAAGCGGCAAAAACAGTTAAATATGGTAGTAATGTTGATGGAATATCGACTTGTGATCCTGAACAATATGCCAAAAGATTCCTGGAATTTATGGATAAAGCTATAGAATAAGATATTTAACTGTATTTGTCATCATATATATTAAAAATAAACCCATGTAAACATATAAAATAGGCTGTTATATTATTATAACATGTGCTCTTCGAATATCTCATATCTTAGATAATGGTTATGAATATGTTCGGAAATAATTTATAAGCTTAAGTGTTTCTGTTCCCATATGCCATCTTTCATTCTATTACTGCTATAATAATTATTGGGTAAATACAACCATTAGGTTATTTCATTTTAATCCCAATTCGTATGTGTATCCAGTGTATCATTACTAAAATTGAAAAAAAGAAATGTCATTAATGTCTAGAAAAATATTGTGAGAAATACTTACTACAAAACGGTTAACCTGATGCCGGGGTCGAACTGTTGAGTTGCGTTCCATATTTTTCATATTTTCGAAGCGCTCGCGTATTCTGTAATTTGAAATTTGAAATTAAATCATTTTTGTCAAAATTAAGAGAATCTTACGCCTTGGCACTTTCTATGGTTGACTCATCAGAAACTTGTTCTGAGTAGATGTCCACAAAGCCCTCCATTATTTCTCGCTTGATCTCGTTTGCCTGCCATTTTTCAAATTTGGCGCGAAGTTGCTTTGCGCGAGCTGCGTTGTGTGCCTTTATACATAGAAATTTAGAATTAACTTTGATTAAAAGCAATTTCACAGATTTTTCAATAAAGTGAAATTTTTAAACACACAACAGATTTGGAGGACCATAAGACATAAGCGTTGGAGTGCCATTTAGTATTTATGTTTATTCATCTGGGTATCGCTGAGTAATGAGGCGCAGAGGTCATTAGGACCTAGAGAGCTGAAATTTTGCATGTAGACTCGTGTACTGCATGTACGCAGTACAAGCTTATCGTATTTTTTCGATAACTCATTCGATATCGTTTTTTATCGAGGATAATCGTTAAATAGATTTTTTTTTTCAGCCTGTGTATATAAATTTGATGAATACAAAGATTTTGTAATTTACAGAATTTGAATACCACGCCCCCTTCGCGGGAAATTTGTAAATAGCGTATTTCAGGTACTAGAAAATTGTGTTTTTGAATATACATACATATTATCATTATAATCAGGTCCTAACAGTTTTCTGAAGTCTTACCACAAGAGAAATTATTCAATAAGTAAATTCTCATATTACCACACTGCGAGTACAAGCGCAGTCGCTGCTTATTGCGCAGTTAGCAGAGCGTGTGCTTATACGTGCGTGTGGATGCGTGTGTATATACACTCATGGTCAAATTAATAGGTGTGACCCAAAGATTCTAGCATATTTTGGAATAATTACGGTATGACAACATCTATCAGCACGAAATTTTTTTTGTTAGGTATGGCCACACTTTTTGATAAGAAAATAGATAAATCCCCCCAAAAAATTTACTCGCTAAAAAGTTTTGGCTATTATACATTCTCTACCTCAAAATTGACCTGGTCACATTAATAGGTGTGTTTAACTAAACAAAAAATTATTAAAATATTAAAGTGTTTTTGAGTAAGCAAAGGTAGTATTATTATTGAATATAATTTGATTGAAGCATAAAAATTTTCATTTGCAACATTTAAATAAAATTAGATGGGTCGTGGAGTTCACTGNTTTCAGCTTTCTAGCTCTTCAACAAACATGATTTCTGGTATATCGGAAAATGCATTTTCCGATTTGCCACGCCCCTAGTGGGCGGATCGGGAAAATTTTAACACTTTATAAATCGGAGATATACACGAGTATGTGTTCCAAATTTCAAGTCTCTAGCTTCAATAGCGCCGAAATAGATTGCGTTCATACGGACAGACGGACAGACGGACGGACAGACGGACGGACAGACGGACGGACAGCAAGACGGACATTCCACAAAACCAATATACTGATTCACTTTCGTGAGTGAGTATAAAAATCATAGATGTGCTTTAGGTGCGTGTCTAATAGGGGAAGTGATCAGTACGTTTTTTTAAATAAGATCACATTTAAAACCAATATTCCTTTAAATTAAATGATTATTTAAATGAAATGATGATGAAATAAATATAGCCGTTCTCGAACAGTTAGCGAGTAATATCGAATGAAGTCGACTGCAATTGTGACTTTGTAATGAATTCTTACCTCTCTAAGCGCCTCATCTCTGTTATTTGAATTTAAGTTTACAATTTCTTGATTGATTTCGTCATCATCGTCGGACTCATTATCATCATCGTCGTCATCCTCGTCCTCGTCCTCTTCACTGTTGGATTTATCATTAAAGTTCTGCCTATCTCCTGCTGGCGGAGGCGTGAAACATTTTAGAGGCCTGGGACTCATGCAGTTAGAATTAATTGATTTATTTTGCTCCATTTCTCGAAACTTGTTCAGCATTGTGGAAGTGGTCTGTGTTTTTTGTAGTACATTATCGTGAAAGTTCTGTTTGCCCGACTCGGAATCAGTTTCGGAATCGACCGATGGCATTTTAACTACACCTTCGCGAGGTGGTGTTATACGGAACTGACGCTTCTCTCCATCCTTAGGGCGATACGTTTCGAAAAATTTAAACTTCTGGCTTAGCTCGGCTGTAGTCGCTTTGATATCCTCCGCTTTCGCATCACATTTAACCACATCTATGTCAGAGTTCTAGTATATATACGAAAACATTCGTTATATAATTTATTTAAACTCATTCAAATTACCTCGGCAAGCAATTGATTTTGACGCAGGCATTTGTTAATATGGATGGGTCGACTTCTTTGAAAATCGCATTTGGCATGCGGACTCGATGCCACGTTCGCGTCTAGTTCCATGAAAATGCTGCGTGACTTTTTACTTATAGCTAATTATGTAATAAAAATGTATGATTAAATATTTGCCCTTATCTATTGTTCTTTACTTTGCTTTTACCAGATTCAAAAACATCAGCATCCTCCGACAGCCCTGAGCCATGACCATGACTGCAATTGGATGTTTTAGACTCATTGTCCTTGTCGTGAAACATTTCTCCTTTTTCGAATCGCTCTTTAATGGAACGAGCTGCTCCACCAATCTCAACATCCGGTTGCTTGCCGACGGATGTGATAGCCTGTTCGGATTCGGCGACTGCCTGTTGATACATTTCTTTGATTTTTGCCTGTTTGCCCATGAAGAGGCGAGAACGTATGTTTTGGATTTCCTGCTTTCGTTCTTCACGGCGTTCTTCCTTGGACTGCACTGAACCCTTTTCGAATTTAGTCTTGATGTCATTCATGGCATCGCCCAGACCAATAGGCCGCTCCTTTCGAGTGTTTTTTTTCGAGCGTATTAAGTCCGCATCCTCATTTTCTTCTGCTGGTTCATCACCGCTTTCGTTCGATGCTCCGCATCTAATATCTACATCATTTGGTCGATATTTCGCAAGAACTAACTTGCTGCTCTTAATCACAGGACGTTGGTTCAGTATCAGTTGGTCCCCTCTAAGCTTATTTTGATCCACATTCTCAAAAAGTTCAAATCTCGAACGAACGTTCAATTGATGCAGTTCATCAAGCCCTAGGTCGGGCTTATCCGATGCTTACATACATGAATTGATTAAATTTGATTAAATGAAGAGATTTACATTTTATGCTCTAAAAATCTGAAAATTACAGCGTATTTTTGGATATGCCACGCCCCCAAAGAGATGTACCAGTAACTCAAATACTTTCTAGCTCTTAAACTGAAGGACATATAATGATTTGGGGCGTGAGTTTACAAAACGATACTCGAAAAATTTGTTTACCAACAATTTTTTTCTTTACTCAAAAGAAACATAAAATTTAATTTAAATTACAATTCAAAATTCTTCAGAAAATGATCTATTGAAAATGTTTCACCATAGGCAAAATGCAAACTCTTGCAAATATTGTCTATTTTTGCAAATTAACTTGGATTTATACAACTTATTAATATCCAAAATATAGCAAAAATTAAAATTGATTAAATGTACATGAAGCTAACTGATAATCTCTGTTCTTCGTGAACGAGTATCAAAAGATGTTTATTAACTCACCACGAATAACATCCGGAGGCAGCTCAATTGGTTGGCTTTCACGAATAATTAACTCAGTTTTGCATTGCTTTGTTTCTTCGACCTGCTCAACGACCTTAGGTGCAAAGAGTCTGTGGAATTTGATAGTAGATTTACGAATATGAGTTATGCATATATGTATATGTAGTATATACTATGACCACATACATACATGCATATATGTGTGCATGCATTATAAGAAACATGGGGTAAGTACTTACTGTTTGAAATGTACATTGCAGTACAGATCTCCTTCGTGACTCTGATAATTATCGAACCTACAGAGAGTGTAAATAAAACATTATAATATATAAATATAAGCAGATATATCGATAATAATCGATACCCTAAGAATATACAGTCAAGTCCCGATAATTGGTAAATTGAAATAAATCTATAAATAACAAGTAATAAGACTCTAGTCGAAATTAAATAGAAGATACCCTGAACCCTCTATCTGATATTCCAATCACTCTGCACTTCTTTTCGGCACACATACATACACACGAACGTATTAGGACGCGATCTGCTAACTGCGCAGTAAGCAGCAACTGCGCTTGGGCTGCGCTGCAGTGTGCGCAACATTATAAGAATTTATTTGTTGAATAATTTAATTTTGAGACGTGCAATCCTTATGAAACTTTTAGAACATAATTATATTGTTCAAATGTATGTACATTCCAAAGCACATGTCTCTAGTACTTGAAATATGCCTTTTACAAAGGTGAGGGTGAGGGGGTGGATATAGGGGTGGAGGTAAATTACAGCAAAAATCGAAATTATATAAAATATAGTCTATATTTAAAATTTGCAAGCTCTAGCTCTAAAGCTGTGGGAGATATAATTAAATGACTAGCTTTCGATAAGGTTTTTGATCGATAATAAAATATCGGGAGTAGTTATCGATATATAGATAACTCGATATGCACGTGATATACACGGACCTAGGAAAAAAAATTTCAAGTCTCTAACTCTTATATCTTCTGAGATCGCCGCGTTCATACATGTATGATACATACGACGGACGGACGGACGGACAGACAGACTGAGAGGGCCAAATCGGCTCAGCTCGTCGCCCTGATCGAGAGTATATATACTTTGTGGGGTCTTCCACGCCTCCTTCTGCCTGTTATATACCTTTAACAAAACCATTATACCCTGATTTCGCATTGTTAATGGGTTAAGGGTATAAAATAGTTCTCGATAATTTTAAATTTTGTGTAAATAAAAACGTTACCTTTGTCATTTCCAATTATCGGGACTCGACTGTATTAGACAAACACGCAAACGAAATGAATTTTTCTTTTTTGATCATCAAGATTTCCAATCGTCGACTAATTAGCTAGGCTTCGATTGCACTAGTTTATTGTGTTTATTCTTTCCTGAGACTAAGTAAATGTTCTATAAAAGAAATGGACTTCGAATATTAAAAAAAAAAAAGAGTAGTCTGCTACTTTGAGTATGCTGTTCAATATTCAATTATAAATTTTCTAAAAAAAAAACCTCTCAATGGCGAAAATTCACATTGATATTTTGAAAAAGTTAGTGTGAACGATGTTATAAAAAATGGTAGTGTAGGTTGGTTGGTTGTGGAAGGATGAAGAATATTAAAGTTAAGTGATTGCGCAAGTGGATTTGCACGAGATGAGTCTCATTTTAATAGTATCTATAAAGTTTTGAGTGCGCTTTCGCCAATTTAATTTAGAGTCTAATCCATCTATGCAAATTTGTGGACAGGTTTATGTCTTTTCGTGAAAGAACATTTGAGAAGTTTTGTTGTGTGATATGCCTATATTCCAATTTCTAGTCCAAGTGGAGAATTTATTGACTTAAGACTGTAAGCGATGACTAACAGAAGTGTGCGAGTGGCTGCTTCTTTCGTGTTTTCGGTAAATGTGTCTAACGCTGTGTCAATGTCTTGTTTAATGTTTACCGGTTTGTCAAGGTGCGTGTGTGTTCATGAAGCGTTTGAAACGATAGACATAGGCTTTAAGTACGTACTTTAATTGTCTGCCGCAGTCTTTGCATCGCAAGCAGAATTTATGGTAGATAGATTTGTCCGACTTGAACTGAACAATAACTTCCTCCATTTTATAGACCGGCTTTGAACACAGTTTGCAATCGGTCTGCTGCTCATCTTTCAGATTCTACAAACAAATTAGACAATAAATAACAATGGAAAGAGGTGGACCGAAATAGATAAATAAATTAGTAGTAAAGATGAAACAAATATATATGTCCATCTGATTATAATGGTTGAGTGTGTGTCAATTTACATTTTAATCATGACTCAGTGAAATGTTTGGATTAATTAATGATTCGCTTACACTGAAGATTTGTTGAGCTTTACTTGAATCACTTGAACGTACATGAATTAAATTTCGCTTCTGAAGGGCATCAAATTTGTTAAAACTGCTCTTCTAAAATATATTAAAATAATAATAAAAATAATCATTATTCACTAAAGTGAGAATCATCTCTATATAAAACAAAAAATTCCAGTCGGTGATGCCCGACTAGGATCCTGAGCTCAGACGTATACCGTGAGCCCAGACAATCTACATTTTTAGCAAAATACTGAATAGCTTATATTACATATTCTTACAACACGGTCGTACTCTAACAATAATTTCTTTTAGTTCTTTAGCGGAACTTGAATACTGTAAGACCTTGAGACTTCAGATTTACTGTKTAGATGCGTTTGACAAATACAAAGGTTTTGTAATTTTTAAATGTTGGGTACCACGTCCTCTGCAGGTAATATTATGAGAATTTACTTGTAATAATGTCTTTTGTGGTGTGACTATCTCCATAAAACCTTTAGAACGTGGTCATAATGTTTAAATGTGTGTATATCTAAAACATCCCAGTAGTCTCCAGGTCTAATAGTATTAAAATTACGCGATTATTCCCGATGAAAATGAAATCGACTATCTTAATGGATCTTTCAAAACGTAACTATTATATTCTAGTACAAGTCTCTAGTATTTAAGATAGGTTTTTTTTAGAAATAGGGCCGTGGCATCTAAAATCTTTAAATTACAAAACCTTCGCATTCATCAAATGTATATACACAGTAAACATGAAGTGTTTAATTCTGACAGAATTTAAATTACGCTTAGCAAACGTAATCAATTGATCGATTATGGCCGATAAAAAAGAAATGGGATGAGTTATCGAAGAAATATGATAAACTTGTACTGTGTATGGTCTACACGAGTATACATGCGGACTAAGAGGCGGGTTTGGCTATGTCGATTCAGCTGATCCCTCATTAAGAATATATACTTTTTATGGGGTCTATCGCGCCCTTGTATGAGTACGGATGTGTGAATGTAATTTTGTATGTGTGCATAAAAGAATCACAGAATAAAGGGTTAAGGGGATCTCCTAGTAGAGCATTCTCGACGCTTGTGTAACTTTTACTTTTCTACTATTTATACATACCACAGATATATTTTGATCATCGTATTCGCATTTCTTCGATTTCTTGGATTTATTCTTTTTCTTTTGCAATGGAACAATTGAATCGTCTGCATTATTAACTGATAAATTATTAACATCGATTGGCAATTTCGGCTCGGCTGTTTGGCCGCTTTTCGAAATACTCTCCAAAATTGAATTAGTATTAACTTCCAAGTCTACAATTTCTGTATCCGCAATTTTCTCCATTTTCGAATCGATTGTCGATAGCTTTTTAACTGATTTTGTTGTTGTTTTGGTTGATTTCGATACCAAATGTTCTTCTTCGGCGTTAATAACGGTCTTCATCTATACAGAATATTGTAGAGATTTGAGTTATTTTTTCAAGGTAAATTAAATTGTGGAAACAATATAAATAAACTAGAGCCACAAATATTTTTTTCTGTTTAAGTATTATAGTAATCATGCAGGCTTCATTGAAATATAGTAATTTCAGAGTTCAAAAGACTATCGTATACCAAATGGGTATACCATATATGTACATACATACATACATACATATGTGATAAACTTACCTTTTTCGAATCCATTTTGGCAGGCAGGACTATACCACAGTGAACCTTTAAATAAACAAGGATGATAAAAGTTGTTAAATAAATAGGAAATAAATAGGCGAAAGTCGGCAGTGAAAAGGGTTTGTTAAAATGTATATATACATACATATATATTCTTGATAAGGGCGACTAGCTAAGTCTGAGTACAAGCATTAACTAGAGAACACGCGACGACGTTCAAACATACGGACAGACAGACAGGGCTAAATCGCCTCAGCTCAAAGGGGTCTGCCACGCCTCCTTCTGCCTGTTACATACATTTCAACAAAACCATTATACCCTGATTTATTTTAGGTTTAATTATACCCTGAACACATTGAAAAGGGTAAATCAGGGTGTAATGGTTTCGAGAAAAGTATGTAACAGGCAGAAGGACAAAGTATATATATTCTTGATCAAGGCGACGAACTGATTCGATTTGGCTCTGTCCGTCTGTCTGTCCGTCCGTATGTATGAACGCGTCGATTTTAGAAGATATACGAGCTAGGGACTTCAATTTTTTTTTTTTTTTTTAATTTTCGTATATCTATCGCCGATATCGGGTTTATCACCAAAAATCGATAGATCATCCCATAATGTTTATAACCTGAGCCCATTGAAAACGGGAAATCAGAGTATAATGGTTTTGTGAAAAAGTATGTAACGGGCAGAAGGAATGATCGCAGACCCCATTAAGTATATATATTCTTGATCAGGACGACGAGCTGAGTCGATATAGCCCTGTCCGTCTGTCCGTCCGTCCGTCCGTCCGTACGAGTGCGTTGATCTCAGAAGTTATAAGAGCTAGAGGGCTAAAATTTGGCATGCATACTTGTGTGTACCATACGCAGTTTATCCGTTTTTTCGATAACTCGTCCGATAACTTTTCTATCGAGATTAATCGAAAAATTGATTTCGTTTTTTCAGCCTAATTTAAACACATTTAGACCTAAAGACTGATTTACTGTGTATATACAGTTGATCGACACGAAGATTTTGTAGTTTACAGATTCTGGATACCACGCCCCCAACAATTAAAATAAAACGTATTTCAAGTACTACTTGTGCTTTGGAATGTACATATATTTTAACCATATGATCACGCATTAAAAGTTTCATAAAGATAGTCCATCTAAAAAAGAAACTATTTAACAATTAAATTCTCATAAATATAATTCCCACACTGCAACGCAGTCAAGCGCAGTCAGTAGAGCGCGAGATTATACGTGCGTGTGGATGCATGTGTTCCTAAAAGAAGTGCAGAATGAGTAGAATATCAGCTTAGAGGGTTCCGGGTATCTCCTAGTCAAGCAGTCTCGATTAGAGTCTTACTTGTTTATCGATAAAAACCCTTATCCAAAATCAGTTTTAAAATGATATCTCCTACATATTTAAAGCTAGAGTCTTCAAATTTTAAATGTACATTTATATGAATTTTATACAATTTCGGGTTTTGTTAAAATGTACCCCCACCACTATATCCACCCCCTGACCCACATATTTCTAAAAGACGTACTTTAAATTCTAGAGACTTGTGCTTTGGCAAATGTATGCATATCCATGCTATAATCATAATCTTAAAGTTTCATGAACAAAGTAGATCCACAAGAAAAGTTATTGAACAATTAGGTTTCCATAGTAAGCCACTGCAAACAATGCGGGTTTATGCGTGCATGCGTATACCTGTGTGTGTGTGTGTGTGTGTGCGTGTGCGAATAAAGTATTGAGATATCAGTTGCTCGAAGGGTTCAGGGGATCTCGTAGTCGAGCAGTATCGACTTTCTTACTTGTTCATGGTTTCAATAATATCACTGACCATATTTTGCTCTGAATTGGGGAATATATGGCCGGACTGGCCAGTAAAATAATCCCATCAGGTTGGTAATACTTAGATATGTATATATAATAATA